GCCTTGTCCTGGCTTTCATTGGCCTCGCATTCAAACCCAATTTCGCTGGCATTGCGACAGGTGACTCAACATCGGTGTCGGCGCGTCGATATTGAAGCTCGGCAGCGGCCGTCAGTCCACTTCGACGGCTGCTACGGGATAGTTGCGAGTAACGGTACATTGTGTGTGCGTGCGCGAACAAGATTGTACTTTCGGTGCAAAAGTGAACGTAAGGAGAAAACCATCGAAAAATATACCAAGTTTCCAAAGCTAAATTCAATAAAAAGTAAACATATGCAAAGAATATACTACAGATATAACTCGACAAGAATTCAATGCTTTCATTGAGGTAATTGGTCTCCAAAACACGTGGATCACTTAATATACACATATGTATATATACTATATAGTGCAATTTCTAATTAAGTCGAATTAAACTGCTACGAGCATGTTAAAACGGTAATCCAGTTCTAAAACATTTCTAGTTATGAATGGCAGACCATGAAGTGGTCCCACTGCAATTCTATTCAATTTCAAACTCTTTAAAATATAAACTACTACTTTTTATACCCTGTACCCAAAGGGTACAAGGGTATATTAGTTTAGTGCGAGTGCACATGGAACACACAGAAGGAGGCTTGGTAGACCCCACAAAGTATATATATTCTTGATCAGCATGACAAGCCGAGTCGATATAGCCATGTCCGTCTGTCCGTCTGTCTGTCCGTCTGTCTGTCCGTCTGTCCGTCTGTCTGTCTGTATGAACGCAAGGATCTCCGAAAGTATAAGAGCTAGAATAACCAAACTTGGTATACAGATTCTCCTGAGACCGAGAAAGGACGAGTTTGTTCATTTTTTCTGATCCACCCCCCCACTCCCCCCCTATTAACGATTTTCTATAACTCCCGTAATTCTTGGAATTTTGAACTAAAATTTGGTAGTCACATTAGGTTAGTAATTATATAACCGTATACCAAGTCTCATTATGATAGAATGATCGGAAAGAAAGTTATAGCCATATAACCAAGCTCAATGCACACATACATACATATGTACAAGTACACAAACACGCATAGACACGATTCTGATGTAATTGTAAATGTATGTATGCATGCATGGAATATTTTATATTTAATTAGTTAATATTTAGTTAATTAATTAAATTAATTTAGTTAATTAATTTAATTAAATTAATTAATTAATTTAATTACTTTTTTGTGGGGTGGTACAGGATATTTAAGAGTTGAGCCTGCTCGACTTTAGCATTCCTTTCTTGTTTATAAAATTGGTTCATTATTTCACCATTCCAATGACAAAATCATCTTCCTGGTCTTTCTTCGTATTATTCGGTTGATGTACAGCAAAAAGGAACCTCGATTCATAATTTGGTGATAAGACAGGGGGACATGTAGACGAAGAATGATTATATGAAAACTTACGATTAAAGTCGTTATTGTTTCAGACAGATTAACATAATTTTTGCTACTTAACTTACTTTTCCAATATAATACACTAGACATTCTTTGGCAATATTTTACGTTTTGAAACGAATCCCAACCTTGGAAATTTTTAAAATGTTCTTATTTTAGTTTCGTATTAGGTTTGTGCAAAGTAAGTCACCAGCATGTCCGGCTCTATAAAATATATATTTATATTCTTAATAAGCAATGACAGGACAAATCGATATAGACATGTCCGGCCGTCTGGATGAACACATGGACTCCGGAAAAGATTAAGCCCAAAGAACAAAATTGGTATTTAGGCTACCTATCCTATTCATAGGAAAAATCGGTTTATTTCATTAAATTTATTTGTTATACATATGTATATGTGTATGTATATTTCATCAATGATAGGTGCTTCTTCTTTTTGACTGGTCCTCCAACCCGTTACCGGGCTATGACCTGACGTAACACAGCTCTCTACGCGCCTCTGCTTCGCGCGCGTCTCTTCCAGTTTGCCACTCCGCAGGTAGGAATTGCGTTCTCTACCTGGCCCCTCCAGCGTAGACAAGGTCTCCCCCGTCGGTGTCTCCCCCAACATCCGCATCGAGCACTTTTTTCGCTGGAGCTTCTTCATCCATACGCACGACATGACCTAGCCAGCTTTGCTACTGGATGTTTATTCGCTTTACTATGGCAATGTCGGCGTAGAGCGGTAGTCGTCGCCAACGCGTGCAGGACCGAAGATCTTCCGAAGCATCTTTCTCTCGAACACTCCAAGAGCTGCTGCATCAGTCTGCGATATCACCCATGCGCCATAAAGCTGCACGGGGAGAATTGTAGAGCGTTAGCTCAGTTTTTCGAGAAAGGTCTCTGCTATTCAATTGCCTACTGAGGCCGAAGTGGCATCGATTGGCTAGAGCTAATCTCCATTTGGTCTCTAGGCTGACATCGTTGGTTGCTGTGACAGTGGTGCCACACAAAATGGTCATACACAAAATCTTTCACCATTTCGAAAGTATAGTTTTCCACCGCGATCTGGGAGTCTGGTTCCCGCGTGTCCCTGCTTAAGGGAAACACATACTTCGTTTTGCTCTCTTTTATCACCAAACCAATTTTTGCAGCTTCCTTCTCAATAGCCGCAAATGCTTCGGTGTTCCCCCTCCTGCTACGGCTGATAATGTCTATATTATCAGCATACACAAGCAGCTGAACGCTTTTGAAATATAGGAGCTAGAATACCTAAAATAGGGATCGTAAAGAAACTTTTCTCCCTTAGGTCTATATGAATCTAGATGCCAAATTTTACCCGACAGTTTTGAGAGAGCTGGGAGTACTTTAAACCCTTAAGCTGGAAAAAATAAAATAAACTCGTGTAGCTTAGGATCTTGGAGAGTCCACATACCAAGTTTGGTTAATGTGCGCTCAACTGTTTCCGAAATCCAGGCGTTCATCCATACGGACGGACATGTCTAGATCGATTTCTCTCGTCATACTGAATTAGAATATATATACCTTATGGGGTCGGAGGTGCTTCCTTCTGCCTGTTACATACTTTGCACAAGCCTAATATAACATTTTTACCCTGCGGGTACAGGGTATAAAAACATCGACTTTGAATGCATTTTCAACCCAAAAGGAAGCTCTCAACAGTTCCCCTTTCTGTCTGAATAAATATTCCTGATCAAGGGCGTAGGCAAAAATTTTCGCGATATGAAGTCGACCAAACATTCATTATAATGGCGCACTATTTCGCCTTAAAATGGAGTCCAGTTGAATTTGTTAACATTTTTCTATTGATCATATGCATAAGTTATTATTTTAATGCATCGGGCATTACTTAATCAAAATTTAAATTTTTTGCATATACCCGATAATACTTATCGGGTTATAAATTAGGTATCCAGATTTTTATAGCCGACGAGCTGTTAAGATACAGATCACTGTCCCTATCTCTCCGGATCAGGAAAGCTTCAGTATACCGAATGCAAGATGAGACCACTTTAAGACCAATGAAATAAACGTAACGTCGTATATGCGGCTAACGTGGCCTATTTGCAGCAGGGAGTGCTCAACGGGGCTCTGTAAGCTAAGAAGAAGCTAGATCAGGGCCGGACCAGACTTTGCCTTCCCAATGATTTCTATCAAAATTGCAACGATGAGGAAGATGGGGAAACGGTGACCCACCTCTTGCATGGCTATTCTTTAAATTAAATATTGGTTTTTATGAGCCACCTTTCTTCCGAACATCTCAGTACTATCCACGAAACAACATAAAGAAACCAAATGGCTGCATTTGACTAACCTTTGTAAATAAACAATAATGGCGAATAATTAATTTGGCATTTGCCAAATGTTTCCTCTCGAAAACTCTCCTAAATATATGCCTTCAACGTCGTGGTCATTTATCCACCAAAAAGAACACATCCATCCACGCTATCTGGACAACACAATAGTATAACCCCCAAGACGCCTCTCCCCGGCGGCGACAGGTGACAGCCCCACCACTGGGATAAGTCGCATCTGGCCAATCACCAGGTCGACTGACAACAAATGATTATTGAACCTTATACAAGACAAATGAACCCAAAACGGCTCCACTTCGATGTCGATGTTACGGATACTCTGTTCCAAGGAAGCAGTCGGGTCGACAGACCTAAAGACGACAACCTGGCGGCGGATAACCTTCAGAACTTAACCCAGAAACAACACCATATGGGATACAGCTACAGCGAAGACAGACAGACGGCTAGGAATTGAGTCAGATGGAAAAATGTGCCTGTAGAAGCCCTAAGCTCCCAAGCGGAGTAAAAAAGGAATAAAAAAAAAGCCCATTTTAATTATTGATTGATTTTTTGATGCAACCCGAATACGCACGACAAGTCAATCTGAACATATCGGTCCATTCGTCTGTCTGGATGAAACGGCTGAACCAAAAATTGACTTGCTAGGTATACTCTTCGTCTTTCTGCTTTTGCCTGGGGATAACAACGCATATAGTTTACAGTGAAGTACCATTTCGTTTCTTGTTTTAAGTTGAATTAAGGTGTTCATAATACCACATTAATCATAATTCTCTTCAAAATAAAGTGGTATAATAACATAGAAAATCAATAAGGGCCCAGCCGCTTGCAAAGTTCTTCTAGACAGACTGTCTATCAGTCCGAAAGGACATGTCTTGATTGATTTGTCTCCTCTAAGAATGCACTCGTATGTACTGCCAGTTGCAAAATTAAAGGGTATATTCAATATATCCATATTTCATATCTAGTATAAGGCATACACAATTCTGCTTCCTTTATCTTTACAAAAATAAACATGTTTTCTGGCTTAACATCCAGCGCTACATTATATTGCATAGTTATATTAGTTGTTTTGAATATACGAGTATGTGATATACGTTGTAATGTCCCGATTAGTAAATTGCTCTAACTATTTGTTAACTAACCAATTATATATTTCAGGTACTTAAAGTTGCAGGATGTTCGATTTTGTTTAAATTAAAACGGAATAAGGGCAACTTTCCACAACAAAATAAAAGTTGAGGGCTAAGTCTACGGCCGGTAGGCTCGGCGAAAAATGATGAATCCACATTATCCCGAGTGCCGTGCATTACCAGCAATCAACGAGACATTTCCGCAATTCAGTCAAAGCCGGCCAGCGATTGCGCTGCTCTCCCCTCTGGACCTTTCACTGCGAGCTGCCAACATTATTCCCATTACGCCACCATCGACGCCCTCGCCGCCCCGCAAGCGCCAGAGATTAATGTCCGAGGAGAATTACCTATGGAGACCGCATGCGATGGCAGCGACGCAGCACCACGCGACGCTGGGCATGCAGCAGTTGGTCACTGCACCATCAACGAGCTTTTTTCCCCATCAACAGCAGCAGCAACAACAGCAACAGGCACAGCCACAGCAGCAACCACAACAACTAGCACCACAACAACAACAACAACAACAACTGGGGACAAGCTGCTACGGCTTACGCTTTGATGCTACTTCAGGTGGTGGCCCCGCTGCTCCGTATAATAAAAGTCATTTTCAAGAGACGAAAAATAACTTTGAGGAAATTCCGGCGAGTCAATCGAGCGTGCCACCCCCAGCCATACACCCGAGCCTGGTCAGCACCCAGCAACAAGGGCAACAACTGCCCAGCATCTACGTGGAAGATGAAACAATCGTGTTGACGGAGGACGAGGATGAAACAGTTGTCAGTTCCCATGACTACAATGAGGACACAGACATGGAAGAGGGCGTGAGCGACGAACAACAGCGGTCCCGAAGCAGACAGCAGCAATCCGACAATGAAGTCGATGATGACGAGGAAGAGGTCTATGTGGATATTTTGAGCAACGACGACGAAGACGATGACCTACAAAATCCATCGCTGCGTCTGCAAGCACAGCTGGTTGAAGCCAAGGCGCTGAAACGGAATGAGTTGACCTACGACGATGAGGAACTTCACATTCAGGCAGTCGACGGCCTGGCCAGATTGTTTGAACGGGACTTTTCTCAGCCGGCGGCAGAACAGCGATCGCCGACGGAGACCGCAACTATAGAGAACAGTGATAAAATCTACACAGACCTGGGCAGTGGAAGTGCGACTACGCCCGTGAACCCCACATCAGCGACGGCCCCAAAAGTAGCGTCCACAGGCTCAGTAGCACCTCTTGCACCTCCTCGCACCCACAAACCCGAACGGAAGCGCACCAAGCTACGCAAACACACGGCAATCGACGAGGAGACTATCAGTCCCGTCTCCGGTACCATCATACGGAAGCTGCGCGACGATGAGGAGCTGGTTGTGCGCAAAGGTGACATTGATCCGGCTTTCAACGTAGTCGAAATCACCGAGGAGGCGAAGGCCATATTGGCCAGCATCGACAACAAGATTGGCGCTTATTTGTGTCAGCTTTGTCGCACTCTCTACGACGATGCCTTCATGCTCGCCCAGCACCGCTGTCCCCGCATTGTGCACATCGAATACAAATGCTCCGAATGCGAGAAGGTGAGAAAAACGAATACACCGAATCATTATTTATTCACACCTATAAATATTAGAAATTTTTGATTTCTTCGCGAACAGTTCGCACTACATACAAGCATTTGAAATGTGGACGCTATTGACGAAATTCTGTAGCGGAGGAAGGGGGGGAAATTCCAAAAAATAAAATAAACTCATCCTTTCTGGATACCAACTTTGGTTGTCCCAGCTTTTATAGTTTCTGTATATTTTTAATACAAATATCTAGCTTTGTTATTAAACTATATAGGACTTCTTCGTTCTGCAGGTAGTCTGTCTCACAACTATTTTTATATTTTTTATACAAAGGTCGAGATTTATTATTAGACTTTGCCCCACGACTATAGAGAGAATGAAATGATAATGCTACAGACATGGTTGCACTGGCAACGAAAATAGGAACGCTTTCACAAATAGATCCACTATTAAGTAATTTAATAAAATCTCTGTTTTAAGAGGCAGTACTGGGAACAGACCAAGTAATTGTCGTGTTAAAATAACTGAACAGCGCATATTTAAAAAAATGTAGATTAATAAATTCGTTTTCAAACAAGCTTTTGGCATGAAATAAAGGGAAAAGAAGAAAATCGAACAATTTCTTGATTTCAAACAAGAGAGAACGCTACAGTCGAGCAGTCCGATAGCGAAATACCCTGTACACAGACAAACTTCCATCACTGAGTTCACTGGAGAGAATTTGTTTTGCTAATAACTTTTCTTAGAATTGACCGAATTGGATAAAATGTTAAACAACAGTAGATACAAGGTGTGTTCCATAATAAACAGGAATTTTTGAATCTACCGCCCCCTGGTGGCGCCATCTATATGTCGACTGGTGCGTTAGAATCTGCTATCTTTATCGATTGTCCAGTGAGAATTCCATGACATTTTATCGATTGGAAGTAAAGTTTTTGCGTTTTAAGTGTCAGTATGTTTGTGTTATCGGTCGGAAAATGAGCTTCGAAAAAAAGAGCCAACATTAAATTTTGTTTTAAAATTGGTAAAACATTTACCGAAATTAATGAAACAAGTTTATGGCGATGATTGCCTATCCCGTAGCAGAGTGCACGAGTGGTTTCAACGTTTTCAAAGTGGTCGTGAGGACATAAATGACGATCAACATGTGGGCCAATCAAAATTCGTGATCCCCAAAAATGCCATCAAAACAGTGCGTGAATTCATCAAAAATCAGCCGAAACCATCATTGAAATTGATGGAAATGGAATTGAACATCTGCAAAACATCGATTTATCGCATTTTGACCGAACATTTGGGCTTACGAAAGGTGTGTGCACGGTTTGTTCCGCACAAATTGACTGACGACCAAAAATTGCTGAGAATCCGACCGATTATTTGACCAAAAATCACATTTTAACCATTAACCACTCGCCGTATTCACCTGATATGGCACCGTGCGACTTCTACCTTTTCCGAAAAATGCATTTGCCAATGAAAGAAAAGCGTTATGCTGACGTTGATGCCATCCAACAGTCGGCGACCGCCATCCTCAACGCTATACCGGCAAATGACTTAAAAAAGTCGTTCGATCACCTTCTTGAACGTGCAAAACGTTGTATTCAGGCGGAAGGAGACTATTTTGAAGACGACCAATAAATTTTCCAAAAAAAAAAAAAAAAAAAAATAGTTTTCGTTTTTTAATAAAAGTCCTGGACCTTGTAATTATGTATAAACTATGTGTGCAAAGTTTGGTTTAGGTAGCATTTGAAATGTGGACGCTATTGACGAAATTCTGTAGCGGGGGAAGGGGGGGAAAATTTCAAAAAATAAAATTACCTTGTCCTTTCTGGATACTTTGGACAAACCTAATATACCCTTTTTACCCTACGGGTACAGGGTATCACAAGTTTTTTTGTAATATACAAAAGGAGCATTTTAGAAATTCGGTTTAATGGCAGTAGCAGGCTCATATATTTTTACAAACTAACAAAAAGTATCCATGTTCCTATTATGTGTTTGCGCTGCGCCGGGTCTTTTAAAGCTCGACAAAATCGGAGCAGAGACTAAGCTTATTTCAGATTAGATTGTCACGCTGGTCTTTGCCGAGAATGCACACCGGCCCCAATATGTGTTATTATTTCTTTAATATTGAGCGCCCTAAACGAAAAGGGCAACCGCTTAAATTTGTTCCAATTTTATAATTTTACTACAATAAAATTCAAAATCGAAGTCTTCAATCTCCCGCCTACATCCTTTGGCTGCCAAAACTTCACTAAAAACTCAATTTTTTAAAACCCTTTAGAAACTGTTACAACTACACTTATAAATTACGCTTACAACTATCGCCTACCACTGCCCGTTTCCTTTCGTAATCTTTTTGAGCTTTAGGATCCCAAAACTTCTGACATGGATTGCTTTGAACGCAAAGAGAACTGTTCAGATCCTAAAATTTAGTAGAACGTAGAAGTGGAGGAAAGCACAGAGCGCCTTCTCTGCCACTGCCCTGCCTTAAGCAGGCGAAGATTAGCTACACTAGCAGAAATAGCCAGTATTGAGATTGCGAGCTTAATCAAATTCCTAAAATGTTCCAGGTGGTTTGGGTCGGACCATCACAGTCCATATAAATAATATGGCATCACAACGGGCCTACTTTGGCCTATGCTGTGTATGGGTGTGAACGACATCCCTGCCATTGCAACCTACACTAATCTAACCATTATTCTTTCCTTTCCTATATTTATTTTTGGCGCAGAATGCCTCAAGTCAAGGGATTAGCAATCCCATTAATTATGGGCTAGCTAATTTCCTTAAACCACTGGTGTACTGAGATCCATCGAAAACTTATTAATCCTCCATATTTGTCTATCATATCCCAGGTCTTCTTTACCAACACTAAGTTCATATTTACTTTCTCAGTGCATTTTCTTCAATCCCTGGTGTACTGGGGTCCATCCTAATAAAATGGTATCAATCCCACTTGTGTGTATAACTTATCCCTGGTCTGCTCTACCAAATCTAAGTCAATATCTACTCATTCAGTCGCCTAAGTGGCAGCTGGACTGGACTCGCCATAGCGAGGAGTATAGGTATCGGTTTTCCCTCAGTTTTTATACCCTGTACCCGTAGGCTAAAAAGGGTATATTATTTTGGTGCAAAGTAACAGCCAGAAGGAAGCAAAAAGTATATATATCCAGCATGACGAGACATTTGCATATACCTTCTCGTATGTGTGCTGATGATGTAATCTTATCGTCTTATGATACAAAGATGGTCTTCAGCCAAGATCTGAGTTGTATGCACTCGTGGTGCTTATCCAAAAACATCTCTATTACAGTAAATAGGGCTAAGAGTGAACTTGGATTATCATACAGTTGTCTAAAGAATATAATGGTCCTTACACAACTGAACTTCTAGCTTTAATGTAGTTTTTCTCCAAAAGGTGACTTATGGGTGTATCGGCTCCTCTGCCCTCATAGTTTTTCTATTCTTTGTACTTGTTGATTAGAAACGAAATATTTTCTAATTATCTTGTCTAGATACGCCAGCTGTGTGTCATCATTTTACATTTCAGAATGTTAATTATGTGGCAATTTATTCGGAGCCTTTAGTTCCACTAACAGTACGAATCGCACCATTTGCTTCGTTTGTAACACGATTGTTAAGTGCCTTCCAGAATCGATAACGAATTGGCAAACGACATTCGGCAGATAATTTTGTAGATCCCTCCTACTTGTTGTTTCATGTTGACAGCGGGGCTTCAGCGCGTATTATTGTTCAAAACTGTTTGTGTTTCGTGGAAAGGACCAAATTTTGTTGGACGTATTTTCGGCAAATAACTAATTCTAATAATATTTATTTTGGTAGATTAAATTTAAATATGAACAATTGTTTTTCGGTAAAATAAAGTTTGCGTGCAAATTATAATCAAGAGAGAACGCTACAGTCGAGCATGTCCGACATTGAAATACCCTGTACCCAGGTAAACTTCCGACACTGAAGAAGAGCGAACTTGATGCTGCAGCTTGTGGGCGTAGTACCGGACTGAAATTGGTTCGCTTATAAATGTTCTTAGAATTGACCAAATTAGATGAAATTTAAAATAAAAGTAGATAATTTCTGGTGTCGAAGATGCTTTCTTCTACCTATTACACACTTTGCAAAAACCTAATGTACCCTTTTTACCCTACGGGTAACCTGTACAAATAATAAATTAAAGTTTACTATGAAATTGAACACCCCTTGCACCTGAGGTCTGTAAATACTAAGTTTTCTATGTTATCATCATTCTTGACCATTCCTCTAACTGGATAATTTGTTATTCAATTGGGTTTTTGAGAAATCGCGAAAATCCAGGCCCGCAGAAGCGACTAGCAGCTCTTCTGGAAAAATAAAGTGATAAAGATATTGTTTTATTGAATAGGTAGGTCGTCCTATGTTATATTATATTTATTTCAATTTCAATTTCAGGCATTAAGACTAACACATCTTCGGTGTGATCCGGTTCCATATATTTGGCTAATACAAATATATATTTTGTAGGTTTTTAACTGTCCGGCAAACTTGGCTTCTCATAGACGTTGGCATAAGCCCAAAACGGAAGCATTGACGGGCAGTCAAGGTAATAAAAAATCAAGGCAGAATGGCTCTGATTCCACAGCCAGCAATAACAGCAATAGTAGCAGCGTTGGTCACCCGGATAAACCTGCAGGCGAGGATGCAGGCGATGGCATTTATCCTTGTCACCACTGTGGGAAAACTTTCCGACGGTAAGTGTACCCTTCCGAAAAACAGAATGAGGTCCCTTTACCGCTATCTAATATCTTCCTCTGTCGGTCGCTCTTCATCTTTTATTTATTTTGCAGCCACGCTTATCTGAAGAAGCATCAAGCCTCGCATCAAATACTGGAAAATCTGAAGACCTTTGATTTCTTCAAGGCACAGAGTCAGCAGCAAACTGTTAATGCAAACTTTTCGCAGCCCGCATCAGCCCCAGCACCCTACACGCTATTTAGTGGAGCCCATGGCAGTCCCGTGCAGCTTCCTCGCCCCGCCGGCGTGCTTTATCCCTCCCCTAAGAACTATGCACAACGCTTTGCTGGCTTTCCTCATTTCCAACCCTTCGATCAACGCCGGCTCTACTCCCTGGGAGAGCTATATTTGTCGCAACACTTTGAGCGGTCCTCGGCCTTTCAGTACGTGCAGGCGAACCACTTGAGGCAGCTTTCGAATGTCGCCAACAATATGCTCCCCACGCTGCCCGTTAAATGACCCAAGACCAATGTGCTCCGCCCCGTTCCGCGCATTGCATCCTCCACCGCCATAGCACCCTCGAATTTGAAGCGTCCGGTGGAGTTGTCGTCGGCGGTGCCGATACCGGGGGCAGGTTCGGAAGCGGCGATTGTGGCAGCTCCATCGATGAGTGGAGCTCACGATTTGAATTGGTCGGCATTGACCGTGACAGCTGATCGAGAAACAAGTGTTGTTGTTTAAAAAACCTAATTATGTATCATAATATTAATAAATATACCCGCTAGCTAAAATTACAACTTCCATTCAAGTTTTTACATTTCCGGGTTGTTCAGTTTCCTCTTTAAACGAATAGTTCCTAGCTGGTCTTTGTGATTCGCTATTATTATTTTTAGGTTTTCCTGCACTCCTGGCGTCCCCTACTCTGGGAAGCAGGTTTGCGGATAGGAATCACGCAGTACGCACTGGATTGCTTACAAAATAATCTATAATCTACTGCGATATCTTAAAATAAATACTACTTATTTACAATCATTAATTTAGGGGTGATGTGTGAACAAAATAACATAGCCCTCTTAAAATTGTGGTACCCCTTGCACATACACTTTCGACCTGATATACATAGTTCATACTGTATTACAAGTACCTATGTACTTGTAACTATTTCAAAACAATTAATACTTTTCAACTATTAGCCAAATACGGATGCCGCAAAGCACACAGAAACAAACACTATAGTCAGCAAAATTGTTCATCTGAGATGCTTTAACATTTTCCAAAAATTTGCCAACTGCTATCATTTGATCACCGCAATGCAACAGATTCTTTGCAGTAAATACATGTGTGACCACTTCTTCCATGAATTAAAGTTTGTTGTTTCTCAAACAGCAAAACAGCTTCTTAAGACTGCCTAATGAATGTTTCGGATTTTAAAACGAAAACAACCTGGCAGCCTTGCGCAAATATCCTACATGTAATGCATAGGACTACTATGCGAAATATTCCCACGAAATATTATTATATAAATTATATGAAAACAGTTTGCTCGTTTTTCGTTTTTCGAGGAATAACAATATCTACTTGTATTACACATGTATCATTTGTACAGTATATTCAAACGCTAAATGTTAACCTCAAGATAACTGAGGTTCAAGCAATTAACAATCGAAAAATAAATAAATATGCTATTTAGATGTTCCTATAATTTCCATTTTACAGAAATTACCTCGGGCAGCAGGCCCGCAAAAGCAGGATAGCAGCAACACAAGGCTGTAGTAGTCCAATTCAGCAATAGATCAATCGGGAGGCATAAAATTCGCGTTCAAAATATCTACTTGTATGAAGCGAAAGTTCCTGTGGCTTAAATAAATAAATCAAAACTTTCTTATGCAGAAATTTCACTCTGATCTTAAGGCAAGCGTAAGAGCACGTTCTAGTCTGAATATCAAATTGAATTGACAGTCAAACTTGTGGACTTGTAGACTTTCCTTATCTTCAGACAGCATTTTTTTCCTGGTTCAGAATTACGTCAACCATGTTTATGGTTCCAAAGGCATGTTATCGGGTCACGTCGTTAAACTTAGTCGCTTAGAATTGGTATTCCTAGAGCACTAAGTTCTGGATACTTTTTGAATCGTCCTTATTGATCCTTTTTTAAATAAAGATACTTTTGAGTGTTTTTCGAACCATGTAAGCATGGACTCGTGAACAAACAAACGAAGCATGTAAATGCATATAAGCTCCTTAATTAGATGGACACAGTGTGTCAGTCAATTTAGAATTTGTAGTCTTGCTTCCTCCGCTAGGTTTCTTGTATTATTAAGAAGCAGATTATATATTGTGATCAGAAGAGGCGACTACATAGCATGTGCTGGTACTTTCGTAATCTACAAGTATGGTGGTATAAGGAGTGACTATAACTGAAGATCTGAGTGTTTTTTAATATGAATGGCGTTAACATAGTAGTTAAAGTTTATCAATGGTACTTGCGCTTTATTTTTAAACTATTTACACTTTTTGTGGAATATACAGGTATATTATATTTATTTTTTGTGCATAATTGGCCTAACATACAGAAAATATTATAATTTTTGGACAGTTCCTTTTATGCTTCCATAATTCGTGGTTTTTAATATTTTCTATTTATTTCTTGCCTTGAATAGTAATTGCAATGCAATGCTTATAATCAATGAGTTTCAAAAGTTCTAAACAATGCCTTTGAATCATAGTTAGCCTTTTGTTAATGGAGCGATTTTCAAGGCATAGGCAAGGGCATGTGCCAAGTAAGTGTCGTCGCGCACTCCGTAGAAGAGTGAAGATTTGGGTCCTGTAAGAGGCACAATGAATATTGAAATTCTGATAAATAGTTAGCTGTTTATGTCTTACCTTTGGCAAACAGGACACTCTCCGAAAACATTTCCTTCAGTCGTAGCTCTAATAAACTGTCATCCTCAAACACATCCCATAGATTGTCAACAGCTGGTTTTTCGCCGCTAGTATCCGAACCGTACTCCATGTAGTCCCCTTTGGTGAACAGCACGAGAAACAGGGTTTCCTTCGCATTCTGTATTAGCGTTGTTATCGTTTCATTGAGAGACCGCAGCACCTTAAACTGATCTTCAGCTACGCTCTGGCTCATATACTGCTCTGCGACAAGCAGATATCCGGCTTCTTCAAGACGCAGCACTTGCAGTGCCTTATCCAGCATGAGTTGCAGCTTCGGTGCCTGTGGATTGTTTTCCAGGTCTCCATTTGCCATCACGCCTAACAAGTAATCAAGACTACTGGCGTTTAAAGCCTGAAGTTGACTGGCGCTCTGGACGAGCTCGAACCTCTTGGCGTGTTTCTGCTTTTCCGTTTGCCACTCGCGTAGCAGATTGCGGCCGTCAGCCGGTTGGCAGAGAAGCTCGTCTGGAATATCCCACAGGTTTTTGGGTAGCTCGGTGCTCAGCATTTGTCGGCCACCCCCAAGCACAACGTTGAGTGAAGATCCGGTAGCTCCGTAGACCAACTGTAGAGCAACGTCCCGACAGCCTTCCTCAACGCTCGAAAAAGCCATGGCGGCGTCACACTCCCAGCTGCTGTCTGGGGAGTGAGCATACAGGGCAGCTCCTGTCGCACCCGTTACCCTTTGCGTAGTTACAAAGCCGGTGCGCAGACCCGCCATCTGGGCCTGACGTATCACACTCTGGACTTGATGGCTGGCAGTCAGAGAGGCGCTGCAGTTACCGACTGCTACGGCGGAGTCCACTCCAACAGTGTGCCAATTGGCCCGCACTCCGCCAAAGAGAGCCGTGGCCACAGTCCCAGCATCGCAGCCATCTCTTAAGCTGCAGCTGTTCCGGATTCTTGCCACATTAGGAAAGTTATCCCAGATGTAGTTCGAGGGACGAGTGTTGCTATATGCTTCGGGGAAGCGTGCTGCTGCCAAATCGCTTGCATCGAAACCGTTGACAAGGAACAGCAGCACATTTCTGGGATGCTGTGGCACCTCGTTTACGCTCAGCGCCAGGCTGAGCTCCTCAATCCCCTTATCGTACCAAAATTGCTGCTCCGGACTTACTTTATCTTTCCAGTAACTCACATCCATCACATTGGCCACCTCGTTATCTACCTCGTAGCGCATCGTAAGCCCAATACATATTGTGGTTATCACCAGCGTCAACAGCAGAGTACCGGCCACAATGAAGACTTGAGTAGACTTCAGACGCGGCTGGGCCTGAGCACAGAGGTGCTTTATCGTCTGCATCGCGCCCCTTCAATCGATCTACTGAGAACTGCTCCGGATGGTGAATAGCATTGATGTGACTCAGCGTGTGCCAGTGGGTGCCCATAAAGCTTTATCTTTATCTGTTTAGATAAGATGCGCAATTTGAAGTTTTTACTGCAGCTCTGCCACCCACTCTCGGTCTCTCAAACACACACACGCACAGCCACACCCGCCCCCCACAGTCACTCCGAATTTCACGGTTGTTCAGACTGCGGCTAAAGTGTTGTAATTAACATGCAAATACAAATGCTCTGAATAATTTATGTAATAATTGACAGCCAAACTACAAACTAGCAAATGCAAATGCATTGCGTAGCACTTTCTGCCACTGCAAGGCTCAAGGGGTCAACGACGCTTGTGCTCTGCCAACAATTTGGCATAACGGCTGCAAATGCAGCTATCTTCTATGGTACACTGGCCAACAAATACCCTGACTTTAGAATATTATAGCCATTTAAGAGCTGAATGGAATTCTACGGACATTTAGGCCGGGCTCTTGGAACCCCTCTTATATACTCGTACTCTGTGATCGCATAAATGTTCGTAGAGTAGTTTTCTTGGAACAGATACCTCTCTCTCCGCACAGTCCTCCAACTTAAATAAACTTCTTTGCAACAACTGCTCCCATAACAACTAAGTACTCGTATATAACAGATTTTGATCCCACTTTAGTTTGAGTGAGGCTTTATAAGAAACATATCAATTTTACGAATAAGTTCCTGTACTTATAGTGGCAGCTATGTGTATGTAGAGAATCGATTTTTATCAAGGATAATGCAACAAACAAAAAAAATATAAAACTGAAAGTTCTTATAGGAATGGTTATCTTAATAGCTACTTATATAAAATAATATTGATTTCTCTCGTCATGATGATGATACATACTTGTAGGTATATGTTCCATGGGGCTCTTGCTCAACCACCCACTTAGGCCCATACTGACTCTTTGTGATGCTATATTTGGTTTGGTGAGACCAGTACCTCGCCAGCTTAGTGCTGTGCATTGATAGAGAAGTAGAAGGTGTTCTACTCTTTCCTGCCATTCCTCTTCTCTACAGCTTATGCAGAAATCCAGAAGAGATGCCAACTCTGTCGGCGCTTCTGGCAATCGGATAATGAGCCGTGATTGATAATCGAATTTACGGGCTACTCCTTGCCTCCTTCTGCGTGTTACACACATCCGCACAAAGCTAGCACTTTTGATACCTTGAATACCGGATGTAATTAGAACTATGGCATCGGCTTCTGGAGAAATGAGAGGACGGGCCGACGAATGAATATTTTCATTTCTAATTCATGGTTTGAATATTTTCTATCAAAATCAAATATAAACATCATTAGTATAACTAAAAAACATATTCAATTCCTTTCTAATAATAAATAAATATATAATTCTAAGCAAACAGTACTTAGGCGAGCAAGACATGCTAGTATGTGCTACATGTAAATAAAAATAAATACTGCCCGAGAGAGATAACTTCATCTACAGAAATTAATATAGTAAATAGGTTGCACGAAATGTAGGAAAATTGAAAACAAAAGAGACCTTTTGGGCCACCACACCGCCTGAACATTTAGGATTAGAATTCACTTTGAATGCAATTTTAAAGCCAATATTCAAAGATACACACAATATTGTTGTTCACAAGGGCGTAGGCAGGGGGGAAGGGGGGAAGCCTGTTTTGCCCCCTATAAAAAATTTCGTAAAAGCTGCCTACGCCCTTGGTTGTCCACATGCCGCATTGAACTTCGCGGCACTCTGTTAGTTTTGAGATTGTTGTGTAATATTCTAGTATATTTGCTTACACTTGATGTCGAAAATTATTATTCAGATCGTTGCAATAACAACGTACTTAGAGCCACGCATCCTTTTTTGGGGTGGAAGATTTGGGTGCACGAAAATGTTTTAGATCACCCGCTAAGAATGAGAAGGATCTTGAAGACATGGCCTAAACGCCGTAAAGAGCAATAGGAACGAAGCAATCAAACAGCTGACAAAGGCTTCACCTTCCTTAAGGTATTTAAAAATAAATATTGTGTTATTTAGCTTCCACACACACATATATTGTGACTCGCAATATGCGTGCCCGTACTGTTTTAATGTTCTTGCATTTTAATGTACATATTTCCTTTTTAAGAGCAAACTATTTCCTTGTAAGGATATATATATATGTCGCTGATCTAAATAATGTTACAAAAAATACTTGATCAATAAGCAGGTTTTAATAATTTTCGATTTTATTCACAAACATGTTTGCTTTTAATGATATCACCAAAACAAAATAAAGTACATTTCTTTGTTAAAATGTAATATCTAGTAATACAATGTACCTAATCTTCAGATAATAATAAGATAGCATGGTGAGACATATACTTTTTCTTCATTATTGTGCATATATATTATCATAAGAAACACTATTCGGATTTTGTAATCACCCAGCAGTCATAGAAACAAAACTTTGACATGCTGCTTTATTAAATTTGTACTTAGCTTTACTCTCTACTTGCGTCGATCTGCTATTGTAACCTGGGATTCTGACATACTATATTTCTTTTTTTGAAGTTCTTTAGAGCTCCTCTAGATGTTACCAGTATATTGGGACACTGTTTGACAGCTTGTGTCTGAATTGATTTGTGTACGGCTACAACTATATAAAGGGGCGTACCTGACAACTGAAATGGCACATGCACAGAGGACATACGAGAATATGTGGTTAATTGTCATGCTTTTTGTGTATTCACTTTGTTCCAATTTGCATTGGCATGGAGGCCTCCGCAAATATTGCTCATGAATTTGCAATTAAACGCATTCACCGTTTTGTCCATTTGTCTGTTATTCGTTTGGCAAGGTAGCAGCCACTTAATTGGTCCCCACCCCCGGTGCTCGGTCGTCATATCGTCGCTTTGAAGCTATTTTGCCTTGACATGTGGCCAGGTTTCCCGTGCAAACTGCCACCATTTCGTTGTTGTTGTTGTTGTTATTGTTATTCATTTCAAATGGACAGCTGACAATTGCAGTGTCCCTCACTCAGTCATCGTCAGCGTCACCCCGACATCTAATTTGCCGTTTTGTCAGTGACAGTTACAGCAAACAGTACGCAAATAGAAAACAATTGAAAAACGCCACCAGACACCGGAAGTGACCTTTGCGATGAGCCTTGCGGTAATTTTGTGCAATTTTACAATCACGCTGTGATTTACTTGCTTGGACTTCAAATGAGAGCGGTCAAGACTTCGGCTTAGATCCCAGGCCAAAGTTCGATGACAACATTGCGTATGCGTTATGAGTGGAGGACGTAATGGTACCTGATAGGTATCAGCGTTGGGAATACTCTCTCCACATTATCAACAATTTTTAGTATGCCACTTTGTTAGTCGTTGTGCTTTCGTCGTGGTTCGTTTATAGGATAAGCTTTTCGCAAAGCTTTAATCACAGCGCCATCTGTCGTGTATTGGTGTACATTGTACGAGAAGCTTTAAATATCATACATGTGCATAAGGTTCGTGCGAATGTAACAGGCAGAAAGAAAAAGCTATCTCGACTGCATATGGAAGAATCATTGTTTGTTCCCGCTACAGGTTGGAGTAAGAAGTCGACTACAACCGCTAAAGGGCTCTCTTTTGTTTTACTTAATATTTGATTATGGAAATTTCAGTTTTTATACCCAGTACACAAAAGGTTATACTATTTTTTATGGGAATGTACTTGTATGTAGCACTCAGTAGGAGGCGTGGCAGACCCCACAAACTACGTATATTCTTGATCTTGATTCTTGAGTATGTATGTATGTCAATGTATCTACATATACATATGTATGTTCATATGAAGACACCTTCAGAGATTATTGTGTATTGTTTATTTAGTTTTGGATTTCCATCAAGAGCTATTAGATATTGTCTGGCGTGACCTAATGAATGCAATCAACATTTGTATGTACACACATACATACATACACACATACATACACACATATATACATACATACATACATAGGTACATACATACATATAAGAACATTTTTTATACTCTGTACATGAAATGTACAAGAGTATATTAGGTTTGCGGGAGCTGAAAAATGTAACAGGCAGAAGGAGGCGTGGCAGACCCCACAAAGTATATATATTCTTGATCAGCATGACGAGACGAGTCGATCTAGCCCTGTCTGTCTGTCTGTCCGTCTGTCCGTCTGTCCGTCTGTCCGTCTGTCCGTCCGTATGAACACCTGGATCTCAGAGACTATAAGAGATAGAGACACCAAATTTTGCACGAAGATGCGTTATGTGTGTATTCTATACGAGTTTGTTTTATTTTTTTGATTTTCCCCCCCACTTCCCCCCTATGGGGGTTTTCCCGATTTTCCATTCGTATAATCGCCTATATCTCGGAGACTATAAGACCTAGGAACACCAAATTTTAGTCCCAGATGCCTTATGTGAATACGCAGAAAATGTATATTTTGGAATTCCCCTCCCTCCCCCCTCTACCCCGCAAATCGTAACTCCCGTAATTCTTGGAATTTCGAACTAAAATTTTGGAAATACCCCCAGTTGGTTATTATGTGTCCGTATGCCAAATTTCATTATGATAGACCGATTTAACAAGAAGTTATAGCCATAAATATATTTGCTGATGCAGCGCTGCTGCAGCGCTGCTCAAGCGCTGCCCGCGGCTGTTGTTGATGTTGCTGTTTGGTTAACTGCGAAAATGCTTACACAGACACGAATAGATGCGCATAGGCATACATACACTCACACAGACGCAATTGCTATGTAAATGTGCAATTATACACCCTTTACGTGAGTTCGAATACCGAGAGAGGTAAAATCGATCAAATTTTTTTTTTATTTTCTTAATTTTTTTTATTTTCTATAATTATTGTAAACATATGTACAGAGTATTTCAAAGTCGGGACACCCGACTTTAGCTTTTCTACTTGTTTATAAATAAATTATGGCCGTTCCCCACAAAAAGTTAGC